AAAAAAAAAAAAAAAAAAAGAAACCAGGTAGTGGCTGGGCACGGTGGCTCACGCCTGTAATCCCAGCACTTTGGGAGGCCCAGGCGGGCAGATCACCTGAGGTTAGGAGTTCAAGACCAGCCTGGCCAACATGACAGAAACCCATCTCTACTAAAAATAGAAAAATTAGCCGGGAGTGGTGGCGGGTGCCTATAATCCCAGCTACTTGGGAGGCTGAGGCACGAGAATTGCTTAAACTCGGGATGTAGAGGTTGCACTGAGCCAAGATGGTACTGCTGCACTACAACCTGGGCGACAGACCAAGACTGCCTAAAAAGAAAAAAAAAAGAAACCAGGTAGTAATGTCATACAGTTGTTGGGATCTGCATCCTAACTTTGTTGTGGGTGTTATGCCTGGGCTTCTGGCTCTGTTTCTAGTTGTGAGTTTAAAGCACCGCGCTGCTGTTGCTGGCTACACAGAGCACCCTTGTGCACTTTAGCTGGCTCGGGCTGCTGTGCAGGTTTTGTCTGGTTGAACAGCAGTCATATATAACCACCGCTAATCATGTATTTTTCAGATTGTTCAGTTTGGCATGAATGAAAAGGTTGGGCAAATCTCCTTTGACCTCCCACGTCAGGGGGACATGGTATTGGAGAAACCTTACAGTGAAGCCACTGCAAGATTGATAGATGATGAAGTACGAATCCTTATTAATGATGCTTATAAAAGAACAGTAGCTCTTCTCACAGAAAAGAAAGCCGACGTGGAGAAGGTAGGTGCCAGTTGTGGGAATAATTCTTTACAGTTTTGCAAAAAAAGATTGAAGTGATAGATGGACTGTTTTGGTTGGATTGTGGACTGCAGAATTCCCTCTCTCTGGCTCACCCATGGGTCCATTCATTCTGATGTTTCATTGTCTGCTCTGTCTTCATGGGGGGGGTTGCAATGTGGTGGTGAGCAAAAGTTGACACTGTCCCAGCTCCTGTGACTCTTAGGAATATGACTGAATGGTTAATGAAGTCTGTCAGTAACCACAAAGTAAACAAATCAGGACTCCCTCACCAGATAGTTCACAGTACTCCTAATGAGAAGCATGATTGCCTGGTTTATCATTGTTTTTCACCTCGAAAATAAATAGGTAGTGAAAGATGAAAGGGCAGGCCGGGCGCGGTGGCTCAAGCCTGTAATCCCAGCACTTTGGGAGGCCGAGACGGGCGGATCACGAGGTCAGGAGATCAAGACCATCCTGGCTAACACGGTGAAACCCCGTCTCTACTAAAAAGTACAAAAAACTAGCCGGGCGAGGTGGCGGGCTCCTGTAGTCCCAGCTACTCGAGAGGCTGAGGCAGCAGAATAGCGTAAACCCGGGAGGCGGAGCTTGCAGTGAGCTGAGATCCGGCGACTGCACTCCAGCCTGGGCGACAGAGCGAGACTCCGTCTCAAAAAAAAAAAGATGAAAGGGCAAGTAAAAGACGCAGCCGAACTGATAAGTAGGAAATTGGTGCGTGAACATCACCTTGTGGCTTGCTGATTAGTTTCCACGAGAAAGCATTGTGTTTGTCGTTGTTGTGCCTCGTTGGATAGCAAAAGGAAGGGACCGTTTCTGAACTCAGTGGATTTCTTGCATTTGGTAACCACTTAATTTTCCAGAGTCCATGTGGAAAAAAAACTAGAATTTTAAAAAGCTTTGAATATTATATACTCTAATGAGAAAAGCACAAATGAAAAAGCCTTTTATAAGGGATTGACACAGCTACCTAATAGATTCATTTTGCCTGCAGCCCAGGTACAGCCAGTTTCTCAAGACAGGGGAATTGCAGTAGGGAAAGAGCTTATGGCAGCCTGGAGTTATTATTATTACTCAAATCAGTCTCCGTGGAGACCAGAGCTTTTCAAGAACAGTTTGGCGGGTAAGGGCCAGGGAGTGGCGAATGCTGTTTGAATGGGGCGGAGGTGAAGTCATAGGGCGTGGAAGCTGTCCTCCTGTGCGAGTCAGTTCCTGGGGTGGGGGCACAGGACCAGTTGGTGAGCCCAGGTGGAGCCAGTGGTTGTCAGAAATGCAAAAAGCTGAAAAGCTATCTCAAAAGGCCAAGCCTGAGTTTTACAGTAGAGATGTTATTATCTGCGGGAGTCATTGGGGAAGTTGCAAATCTGACCTCCAGAATAATGGCTGGTAATTACTTAACCATGCCTGCATCTTAGTAGAATTCAGGCTCCTCTCATCCTCCTAACTCGGTGGCCTTTCATTAGTTTTACAAGGGCAGTTTAGTTTTGGGGAAGTGTTACTATCATTTAAACTATAAATTCCTCCCGAAGTTAGTTTGGCCCACAACTGGGAAAGAGCGAGGACAGCGTGTGAGGCTAGAAGCAAGAGGCAGTCAGCCATGCCAAATTTCTCTTCCTGTTATAATTTTGCAAAGGCAGTTTCACTAAGATTGTGCTGTTCAGTCAGCAAGTCTTCAAGAAGCTGTGTTAGGCGATGCAGAAGAATCCATGCTGTCAGTTTACAAAAGTGTGCAGTGAAATGAGTGGGCGCCAGCATCCCCAAAACACCGGAAAGCATGCAGCAGGGCTTTGAGAAAGGAAAGTCCAGCGTGGGCAGAGTGGTCCAGGAAGGCTCTGTAGGAGATAGGGCCGAGCTACCCAGAAGGATGAGCAGGTCCCAGAGCAGAAGGAAGGGGAAGGAGGAGTGTGCGGCGTGGAGCCCGGGGGCAGTCCTGAGCCTGCTGCAGTTGCGGGTGGTGGACCCTGTAGACCCAAGAGGGGCTGAGACAGCTCTGTCAGCTTAGAGGTTTGTTTTGTCAAAGTTGAGGATATACCCAGGGAAAAAGAAACACCAGTTACAGTGGGATCTGTGGCCTTTGCTTTTTCCATAGAGAACTTTGAGGGCTTGAATATTTAAACGGGAAAGAGTGGCAGGAAGGGAAAAAAGGGGAGGGTAGGCGGTGAGGTGAGTGGTCGCATTCTTGATTTTCGCCCACTGAACCACGTGACACGTGAAAGGAGGGGTAGAGGGATGTCAGTTACGCATGCATCTCTTGTTCAGTAAATCCGCATTTTACATGCAATAAAGTAAACATAGAGTAGAAGAAGGAGTCAAATACGCATTTGTCTCAGGTTATCAGAGGGTTGATTTCTGGTCTGGTGTTTGTCTGTTCCTGTGAGATAAGCTGTTAACTTACATTGTCAGGGTGAGGTCCAGCAGAACTTTGTTTCAGGGTAAAGGTTTTAGGGCCCACAAGGAATTTCCTTATGAGCAATGAGTGGGGGAGGACACCTGGGGAGATAAATGGTTTCTGTCTTTGCAACCATCTCTTTAGGAACAAAAGGAAGGCAGTTCTTGTGCAGTTTCCAAGCTTAACTTTTCCCCTTGGCATAATGAGTTTAGAGTTCTGAGATTTTATTTTCCTCTCACAAGTCCCAGGCCCTCCAGAGCTAGGTAGAAAGCTGAGGCATACAGCTTTAGAAGTAGAAGTGATCTTAAAAATGATCGCTGGGCGCAGTGGCTCACGGCTGTAATCCCAGCACTTTGGGAGGCAGAGGCGGGCAGATCACGAGGTCAGGAGATCGAGACCATCTTGGCTAACACGGTGAAACCCCATCTCTACTAAAAATGCAAAAAAAATTAGCCGGGCGTGGTGGCGGGCACCTGTAGTCCCAGCTATTCGGGAGGTTGAGGCAGGAGAATGGCATGAACCCGGGAGGTGGAGCTTGCAGTGAGCTGAGATCGCGCCACTGCACTCCAGCCTGGGCAACAGAGCGAAACTCCGTCTCCAAAAAAAAAAAAAAAAAAGATCTAACCCAGCCTCCTTATTTTATAGTAGTTCTTAAAGGAGTCCTTAAAGAATCTTGAGCAGAAATGATGAAAGATAATTTCAGGAGAGTGTGGCGGCAGCATGCCAGCTAGATTGGAACAGGAACACAGACCAGACCAGCTTGGAAGCAGCGGAGCATCTCAACACTCCTCAGGTGGTGCCTGCAGGGATGGTCATGGAAATAAAAAGGCAAAGGCAGAGCTGGAAAACCAGGACTTCATAGAGAACAAAAGAGAAGAAAGCCTGAGAATGACTCCAAGGCATCCCTGGGCAGGGGGAGGAAAGGGAGTGATAAAGGGTTTGGTCTCAACACCCAAGAGAATTTGAGCAAGGCGCATTTGAAATCGAAATATGAACAGGGGTCAGGGTTGCCAGATAGCCAGGTGTTGAGCTGTGAAAGACAGGAAGGCAGAAGAGCCCAGTGCGGATGAGCTCTCTGTGAGGCACTGAGGAGGTCTGCAGTGCTGTGAGAATCTCTCCAGTTATCCTGCCCATCCACAGTCCCAGTGCCTATACTCACACGACTCACGCTGCACAACCAAGGTCTGTTTATTGAAAGGAGAATTGGGTTAGCATGGTGAGGCTCTTGAAACACTAAGTTTTGAAGTACTTTCTGGTCCATCAGAGAAAATGAGCCACGTGCAGAATACTGCAGAGCCAGCCAGGAGGTAGGGAGGCTATGGAGAAGAGAGGGGCTGGGGCCTGTGCTCCTGAAACCATTACCTTGCAGACTCTGCGAGGGCATGGAGTGCGCACCTGAGGGCTTGCCAGCATTCACCCAGCACCTGTGTACCAGGCACTGCCTGAGGCTTCCTTTCTGAAAACCCTGTGACCTCATGAGGTGGCTAACATTAGTGACCTCTTACCTCAGTTTCAGGTGAAGAAGCTGTTGCGGAGAGAGATCAGTAGCTTTGCTTAGGGTCATACAGTGGGTAAGCGGCAGAGCCAGGGTCTGACCCAGGTGTCCTGCCTGCAGAGCCCTGGTGGTTCCCCTCTCCTTGAGTCTGTGTGGCCCTGCTAGGCAGCTGCAGAGGGCTGCTGAGCACGTGGTGGCCACTGTGAATCGAGACCTGTTATGTGTCAGGTGCATGCTGGTTACTGAAGATTCAGCATGAAGAAAGGAATGTAAAAAAACCTCGATCATGTTTTGTATCATCACATGTTGAAATAATATTTTGGCCAGGCACTGTGGCACATGTCTATAGTCTCAGCACTTTGGGAGGCTGAGGTGGGTGGATCATTTGAGCCCAGGAATTGGAGACTAGCCTGGGCAACATGGTGAAACCCCATCTCTACTAAAAATATTAAAAATGAGCCTGGTATGGTGGCGTGTACCTGTAATCCCAACCACTGGGAGGCTGAGGTGGGAGGATCACCTGAGTCCAGGAACTTGAGGCTAGAGGCTACAGTGAGCTGTGATCATGCCACTGCGTTCCAGCCTGGGTGACCAGTGAGACCCTGTTTCAGGGGAAAAATACATATATACACATATATAAACACACACATATATGTGTGTATATATATGTTTTTGATACATTGGATTAAATTATTGAAATTTAAATGATCACCCACAACTATGGTGTGTGTGTGCGTGTGTGTGTATAAGCAAATTGAGAATTAAAAATTGTCTAAGAAGGAATCCTAAAGCCTTTTTTTTCTTACGTATATGCAGACAATATATTTTAAAAATCAGAGCATTATAGTATTCTGGTTTTGTAAACAGTCCTAACCTTTTAGAGATGTCGATTAAAATATATATATATATATGGATAAAATGATATGACATCTGGGATTTTCTTAAAAATAATCTAGACAGTTGAAGCAAGAATATTTCTAAATTGATCACTGTTGATAGTGATTACATGGGGATTATCCATTCTTTCCAGTTTTATACCTATTTGAAGCATTTTATAATATTTTTTAAAACTGAAAAGAAAACTTTCATAATTTTATATCTTTAAAAACATAACATTTATTGCAAACTACAGATAGATTAAATTTCAAAGTAAGGGGTTATCTCAAGAAATAAGTCCACACCTGTAATCCCAGCACTTTGAGGGGCTGAGGCAGCGGGATCACCTGAGGTAGGAGTTTGAGAACAGCCTGGCCAACATGGTGAAACCCCGTCTCTACTAAAAATACAAAAAATAAGCCAAGCATGGTAGTGGATGCCTATAATCCCAGCTACTTGGGAGGCTAAGGCAAGAGAATTGCTTGAACCTGGGAGGCAGAGGTTGCAGTGAGCCAACATTGCGCCACTGCACTTCAGCCTGGGAGACAGAGTGAGACTGTCTCAAAAAAGAAAAAAAGAAATGTTATTTTATGAGATCAGCTTATAATTTAAACTGCTTAATTTTCTTTACACTAGGCAGATGATCTAACAAACACTGTTCCCTCCTCTCATGATACCAGCGCACCTCCGTGTGTGTAATCCAGTAGAGGACCCTTTTCTGTAGCCTGTAAAACATGCAGTGTCAGATTTATGGTGCAGCTGTAACAAATGAATAGAACTTCAAAGTAAACTATTGTCACATTAACCTTCCTGCCTTCATTTTGTATCTCTGCCTTTGTTTATAAATATATATGTATGTGTATATATATATATATAAAAAAGACGGACTTTCCCTCTGTTGCCCAGGCTGGAGTGCGGTGCCTCCATCTTGGCTCACTGCAACCTCCGCCTCCTGGGTTCAAGCAATTCTCCTGCCTCAGCCTCCCGAGCAGCTGGGATTACGGGCAGGTGCCACCACGCCCGGCTAATTTTTGTATTTTTAGTAGAGACAGGGTTTCACCATGTTGGGCAGGCTGGTCTCAAACTCCTGACCTCAGGTGATCCGCTGCCCCAAAGTGCTGGGATGACAGGTGTGAGTCACTGCGCCTGGCCATATATTTTTTTATGTACCGTTTAAAAGAAACTTTTGACAAAATAAACTTAACAAACAAGTTTATTTGCGCAAAGAACAGTTTGGGAATCGGGCAGCCCTCAGAATTAGAAGTTCAGAGCTCTGCTCTGGCAGCATGAGCAGCAAGCTTTTACAGGAAAGGAACTGCAGTCACGTGTTGCTTAAAGATGGGGATACGGTCTGAGGAGTTTGCTGTTAGTTGATTTTGTCACCATGCAGGCATCAGAGTGCACTACACCTGCTACAGCCCTAGGCTCTGTGGTACGGCCTATTGCTCCAAGGCTGCAGACCCACTCGCATGTGACTGTACTGAATGCTTCAGGCCATTGTAACACAATGTATTTAAACACATCTAAACATAGAAAAGGTACAGTAAAAATAAGGTGTTATAATCTCATGGGACCACTGTCCCATCGTTGACTGAAACATCGTTAGCAGCGCATGACTGCTTGATTGGCTGCTGTTGGGCGTTCGCCTTATTTGTGTGGTCTAATGCATGGTCCCAAGTTCTGCCACCAGCTGGCTGGTTGGCTGTTCACGATTGGTAGAAGCTTAATTTGAAATTAGTTACAAAGAATGCCTCTAGGTTAAGTTCCAGTTTGTTTGTTTGTGTATGGATGGGTTCTGGGTACAGAAAAAGCCCTAAGCTAATGGCTCCTGCCTAGTCTGGTTTTTGTGGTTTTTGTTTTTGTTTGTTGAGACTGAGTCTTGCTCTGTTGCCCAGGCTGGAGTGCAATGGCGCGATCTCGGCTCACTCAACCTTCGACTCCTGGGTTCAAGCCATTCTCCTGCCTCAAATAGCCGGGTTTACAGGCACCCACCATTGCCTGGTTATTTTTTTGTATTTTGAGTAGAGACAGGGTTTTGCCATTTTGGCCAGGCTGGTTTCGAACTCCTGACCTCAGGTGATCCACCTGCCTCGGCCTCCCAAAATGCTGGGATTACAGGTGTGAGCCACCGTGCCTGGCTGCCGATTGTGCTTTAATGCACATAAAAAGATACATTCCTGTTGCCTCAGAAAAGCAAACGTAAGATGCTGCGCACACTGAACATCTTTGTTTTTTTAATTGAAGTGTGTGTCTCTGAGATGTATACAGAACATGCACAGCTTCCTCCCTTTTTTTTTTTTGTGAGAAGGAGTCTTGCTCTGTCGCTAGGCTGGAGTGCAGTGGTGCAATCTCGGCTCACTACAACCTCTGCCTCCCACGTTCAAGTGATCCTTCTGCCTCAGCCTCCCAAGTAGCTGGGACTGCAGGTGTGCGCCACCATGCCCAGCTATTTTTTCGTATTTTTAGTAGAGACAGGGTTTCACCATGTTTGGCAGGATAGTCTTGATCTTGTCATCTGCCCGCCTCAGCCTCCCAGAGTGCTGGGATTACAGGCACGAGCCACTGCGCCCAGCCAGCTTCCTCCTTCTTTATTATAGATGGTCAGCGTTTATTGTGCAGATGTATGGAAATGTGTCTAGTATGGAAATGTGTCCCTTACAGATGGACATTGGTTGCTTTGATATTTTGCACATCTTACTCTAAAACTATGCAACCTTATGTATGAGATATCTTAAATCCTTTTTTGGTCTTAAATCCTCTTGTGGAATGGGGTCACTCATTTTAATAAATTAATATTTCTGAATAGACTTTGCTGAGTAGCTGTATTTAATGGAAATTGTTCATATTCCAGGTTGCTCTTCTGTTGTTAGAAAAAGAAGTATTAGATAAGAATGATATGGTTGAACTTTTGGGCCCCAGACCATTTGCGGAAAAATCTACCTATGAAGAATTTGTGGAAGGCACTGGCAGCTTGGACGAGGACACCTCGCTTCCAGAAGGCCTTAAGGACTGGAACAAGGAGCGGGAAAAGGAGAAAGAGGAACCCCCGGGTGAGAAAGTTGCCAGCTAGACACCCAGAGGGAGGCCGTCTCAGTCTGTCCGCTGTGGTTTCAGCTGGTGCATTATTTCGGCTGTGGCTTTCAGAAGGATGGAAAGGCTGCGCTGATTGGAGCCAGCCACTGGCCCAGCTGAAATGATGGGGAGAGGAGTCCTTAGTCCTTTCAGCCTCGGAGGTCACAGTGGGTGGCAGGTGACTTTCCGGAGGCCTTGAGGGAAATGCACACTGTCCCACAGCCTCATTGGCTCCCAGATGGGCTGGAAAGCTTGAGCCCAGAGTGGCCGAGGCTGGACCTGGGGGCACCAAGTGGGGTCGGCTGACCGTGCGGCAGGGATCCTTGCACTGGACTCTTAGCGTGTGGGAAGATGCTTTCTCTCTGTCGCCCACTCTTCATTCCTGTTTCTCCTCAGTTCCCCTGTGCAGATGGGCTGTGAAATTAAATTGGAGTCCTGATAAGAACATTTTAATTTGACTTAATATTTTAAAGATTGAATCCAGATCACCTGTTGCTGTCTTAATGGAGTGGTTTTCTACAGGAGCTGTAACATACTTAAAACTATGAATGTATTATGTAAATATGGCTTCTTTACATAATAAAACGTCCACACTGTACCTTGTTTCAGAACACATGAAGGACCCCTGTTCATGCTCTGGATATTTTTAGAAAACATAATGGCAAGAAATTAAATTCTCTTGCTTTTTAGAGGAGTGTCCTTCACAATCTCAGCCTCGCTGGTTCTCATCAGCTCCCACAGGAGGTTGGAACCTTCTGGAGTTCTGTGTCCTGCAAAGATGCACTGAGCTCTGGATATAAAGTACATGGGTCCTGAGGGGTTGGTCCTGGCCTGAATTCACGATAACCACCCAGTGCAGTCCGCCAGAGGCCAGCCACGGCCAGATGTTGGCCACACCTCCTGGGTCTAGAAGTTAACGCATAACTGTAGCGGGCCTGGCAGGCTGACCTGAGCCGTCACCTGGATTTCAGAGAAGGAAAAGTGGAACTAAGCTGGAGTCCCCTGGGCCCTGGCTCTCTGGGGACATCTCAGGAGTGGACTGAATGGTAACCTGCTCCTATTGTCTACTAGAAGGGACTTAGTGGTTATGTGCTTCCAGAAAAGTGAGTCTGTAGTGTTGCAAACCTATTATCATAATTCCTAAAAAAAGATGGCATGAGGAAGATTTGCTAAGTCTTCTATCAATTGCTGCTATTTGGACATGGAGGAGACACTGGCATTTTTAACTATTTACATTCTTAGCAGTCTGTTTTAACAGCACTCCAGCTTTTTAACATTACTCCAGCTTGCCTTGTGTGGTGTTGATGTCAGAACAGTGGCTTTAGAGTTAACACAATCTAGTGGCATCCCTGCCGTGGCCCCAGGCCATGCATGCTCCATCCATGGCTACTTTCCAGCATCCTGAAATGCCCACCTGTCCCCTGGCAGGCCATGGAAGCAGCTGTTTGGACTCCATAGCTCAGCATGCCAGGAGAACAGGCGTCCCCTGCTTGACCTCTGCACCTGCAGGCATGCCACACTGGCCACTTCCTTTCCTCATGGGGTGTTTTTGGGAGGTGCCCAATGAAGCATGGTTTCCAGCTGAGGCTCACACAGTTGTGAGGGTGCCAGGTGTGCTTTTCACCACACAGGCAGTAGACAATTAGGTAGGAGACACTCTCTACTCCTTACCCAACCACTGCAAGACGTGGAGCCAGCGTGGGCTGCCCTCTCACAGGCCTTGGCTTTGAGGCCTCCCAGGGGATGAGAGTGGGGCCCACTGTGTGTCAGGCTTGATACAGTAAGTGACAAAGCCAGACAGCACTTTGTCACCCGTGTTTCTGGGTGAGGTGAGCCACCTTAAGCTCTGGGCCCTGGACGGCTGCCAGCGTGGCCTAGAGCTGCTGCTCAGCCTGCGCAAGTGGCCCTCTGTGCTAGGAGGAGCCGTGGCTACCTGTGCCACCACCATGTGGGGCCTGCTCACGCATGGATCTTTCCTTTCCATGGTCACACGGAACATGTTTTCAGGACAGATGTAAGTGGTGAGCTGGTAAGATTTATTTTTACTGTGGTCTCAGAATAGTTCAGATTTCTGCAAAATGATCTGTAATCACCTCAAGTCATGCTGCTGTGTTCAGTGATGAAGTTTCCATCTTCCCAAGGCTGGGGCTTAACAAAATTGCTAGTGAATGTAAGGCCTGGGATCACAGACCACGGGTGTTGTGGTTGTACTGTGGGGCACCCTAACCCTCAGTGGCCCTGAATGACAAAGCTTTGTCTGTCTCTCATTCCCTGTCCAACACAGGTCAGAGTGGGCTCTGCCCAGGATGGTCACTCAGGAACCCAGACGGGTGGACAGGAGGGATTGGGGGGGCTGCCCACATGGGAGGCAAAGCAGGAGGGCTGGCACTGGCATGTGACGCTTCCACCCAGGGGTGACACACTATACTCATAGCTAGAGCAAGTCCCATATTCACAGCTTCAAGAGGGCAGGAAGAAGTAAAGCAGAAATATTGTCAACAGCGAGGTCTGTACCAGGCACTAGCGGGGCTACCATGCGTGCCCCATGGAGTCCGTCTTTGGAACCTCCAAAGGCGTGGCCGGTGGTAGAAGCCATCAAGTGTGATGGGCCACAGCAGAAAAGGGCCCATCCCTTCCACGCAGGGCTGGCTGTTGGTACCCCAGCTCCCACCCAGCACCCCTGGCTTTGTCTGGAGGCCAAAAGGCCTTTCCTGTGGCTCCTCTGGCTAGAAGGTTGGGGAACCCTAGCCCAGGACCTGACTTGGGATTCTGTGGGCGTCTAAAAGGTGGCTGCGGATGGGAAGAGGGGCTTTCGTTTGTGCTACATTGCCTTCCAGCTATCAACAGTTTTGGCCGGCCCGTTTAAAGCCTCCATTTAAAGAACAGCCCTTTCCTCTGTTGTTTTCGTGAAGTGGAGAGGAGTTCACCCCAGGGAGAGACCAGTGACCCGAGTAGCCAGTGTAACCATACAAAGTAGCTTACGTCATTTATGCACAGGGCTAGAGAGATGAAGACACACGTTTAGTAATTTATTATGAATCAATTATTTCACAGTCCCATACTGCATATTCATATAAGGCAACACGGCACAACTTCAGGCTTCATCACAAAGGACGAAAAAGACTGTTTCTAACTCCCCTGCTAATTCTCAGACATGCTTGAACACTTAATGGAAGGTGAAGTTTATTTCGGGGCCCCTCAGTTCTCTTTCAAGTCCTCTAGTAGAAAGTCTCCATGGTGTGATCTTCTGACTGGGTAGAACCCGCAAGTAATTCTCTGCTGTTTTAAAGTATTGTCTTTGTTCCAGATGACTAATTACATGACTTGGCTGCATTTGTGAGGGGCCGACACCAACACAACGGACCAGTGCACCATTCAGGGCCATGGGGTAGGAGGCACCAGGGTTCAAGAAGGAACTTGCATGTTGTAGGATCTGAGCTGGGGCGGCTCCTCTATTCCGGCTATCCGTCTATCTCCTCTTCTTCATCCTCAAAAGCTTCCTCCCCGTCATTGGCGGTGGCGTCCTGGTACTGCTGGTACTCGGATACCAGGTCGTTCATGTTGCTCTCGGCCTCGGTGAACTCCATCTCATCCATGCCCTCGCCCGTGAACCAGTGCAGGAAGGCCTTGCGCCGGAACATGGCTGAGAACTGCTCGGAGATGCGCTTGAACAGCTCCTGGATGGCCGTGCTGTTGCCGATGAAGGTGGAGGCCATCTTCAGGCCGCGGGGCGGGATGTCGCACACCGCCACCTTCACGTTGTTGGGGATCCACTCCACGAAGTAGCTGCTGTTCTTGCTCTGGATGGCCAGCATCTGCTCGTCCACCTCCTTCATGGACATGGGCCCGCGGAACACGGTGGCCACGGTCAGGTAGCGGCCGTGGCGCGGGTCGCAGGCGGCCATCATGTTCCTGGCGTCGAACATCTGCTGGGTGAGCTCGGGCACGGTCAGGGCCCGGTACTGCTGGCTGCCGCGGCTGGTGAGGGGCGCGAAGCCGGGCATGAAGAAGTGCAGGCGCGGGAAGGGGACCATGTTGACGGCCAGTTTGCGCAGGTCGGCGTTGAGCTGGCCCGGGAAGCGCAGCGAGGTGGTGACCCCGCTCATGGTGGCCGACACCAGGTGGTTGAGGTCCCCGTAGGTGGGCGTCGTCAGCTTCAGGGTGCGGAAGCAGATGTCGTAGAGCGCCTCGTTGTCGATGCAGTAGGTCTCGTCCGTGTTCTCCACCAGCTGGTGCACCGACAGCGTGGCGTTGTAGGGCTCCACCACCGTGTCCGACACCTTGGGCGAGGGCATGACGCTGAAGGTGTTCATGATGCGGTCCGGGAACTCCTCGCGGATCTTGCTGATGAGCAGCGTGCCCATGCCCGAGCCCGTGCCGCCGCCCAGCGAGTGCGTGAGCTGGAAGCCCTGCAGGCAGTCACAGTGCTCGCACTCCTTCCGCACCACGTCCAGCACCGCGTCCACCAGCTCCGCGCCCTCCGTGTAGTGCCCCTTCGCCCAGTTGTTCCCTGCGCCCGTCTGGCCTGCAACAGAGAGAGTCCCGTGCCGTTTAAACAGGAAGGGGCTGCGCCAGCACCGTGCCTGGGCACCGACAAGGAGGGCGTGAAGTGATTCCATGGTGTGCTGTTAGCCAAAGGGAGGGGCCGGGGAAACAGGCACCCACCAACGGGGCCGGTGAGCAGGTGCACTGGCACGTTTTTAGGCAAGTCAGAGTAGCTACTGATCAATTTTAAAGATGTGTATACATTTGGACTGGCTGTTCCATGTTAAATAGGTGAATTCATGCACATGGTAGAATTCAAAGGGAACAAAAGGTATACGTTAAAAAAATAAGTTACCTGCCGGGCGCCGTGGCTCATGCCTGTAATCCCAGCACTTTGGGAGGCTGAGGCGGGTGGATCACTTAAAGTCAGGACTTAGAGACCAGCCTGGGCAACATGGGGAAACCCCATCTCTACTGAAAATACAAAGATTAGCCAGGCGTGGTGGTGGGGAGCCTGTAGTCCCAGCTACTTGGGAGGCTGAGCCAGGAGAATTGCTTGGACCTGGGACCCGGGAGGTGGAGGTTCCAGTGAGCTGAGATGGTGCCACTGCACTCCAGCCTGGGTGTCAAGAGTGGGACTCCATCTCAAAAAAACAACAAAATAAAGCTCTCTCCTTTGGGCTTTCTGAATTTTGTACTATGTATTAAGTATTTTATTTTCAAAACTGACACTTTTTCATGTTAATGGAGCCCCTCATTCATCAACCAGAATTACTGTTGCAAAATGTTTGCAGAATCAATTATTTATTCTGCCCCTATAATTAAATACTAAGCACAGGAAGTAATTCCTGCCCTCAAATTCTTTCCAGGCCAGTTGAGAAAAGGAGCTTAATATGCCTGAAAGACGTCTGTATTTTATGCAGAGTTCAAGTAACAAGAAAGAGACCTGGTTAGTCTGTTTTCTGCATAATGGTGCATTTTTGCCAGACAGGCTTATGTATACCTTTACCTAAAAAATATTTGAATCTGAAAGATTGGCTCTTAAATTTAAAATCCTATTTTTCATTTTATCTCATTTTAAAATGGAGTATTTCACTAGCGGAAGCATTTTTTCCCAGCTGTAAAAATTA